AAAAAAAGAGGAAGTCATGAAGTAAATTATTCAGCTCCCATCTTTCCTCTGATGCCTCCAGACGCTGAACACGGGGAGTGACAGCAAGGACAAGGACAAGGCAACTCACTGCTGCCTCCTCCTTGGGTCTGTCTTGCCCTCATCCATCACTGTTATCTCAGTCTTGACTTACTGGGAAAATTCCCAGTTTGCCCATACTGGGGTGACCCTGGGCACCCTGCTGGGGGTGAGCTGCTGGAGCAGGGGGTGGGAGGAGATGATCCCCAGAGGTCCCTCCCAACCCCACCTTTCTGTTCCCTGACTGGGGAAGGAAGAGAAGAGCAAACTGCTGCAGACTGCTCATCCTGGCCAGGGAAGGGCAACCAGGAGCTCCAAAAGGTGTCTGGTTTGGATTCCTCCAGCCCCTGTGCTGAGATAATCGAGTCCTTACTCGATGGGTAAAAAATCCATGCAAGCCACACTGAATTTCCACCCCTGTCTTTCCCATCTCTTTATTAGCTCGTTAGTAGGTGCAGCTTCCCCACTTCTCTTTGCCAGAAAACTGGCACAAACACCCGTGTATTTTTAAAAGTAATTAATTAGGATGATGACTTTGCAGCGATGGAGATTAATTGGTGGCTCGCATCCCATTTGCAGACACGGGCATGGAAACGAGTGCCAGCAAGGGCTGGAGTTTTCAAGGTTTATTTGGTTTTTGATTCTTCTCCTCCAGATTTCAGAAGCAGACACACCCTCAAAGCTCCAATTCCTCCCTGTCTACACCAGCCACGAGACTCAAGGGAAATAATCCAGGGGGATGATCTGTTGGGGACTGCGGTGCTACGAGCTCATGGGACTGCCTGAGCCAAGCTAGAAATCCTACAGGAACTCCTTCTCTCCTGTTTTATTCCTCATTTTTCCTTCTAGCCAAGCAGGAGGGTCTTTAAAAAACCCTCCCAGTGGAATGAGTCCTGTTGCCAGGCTGGCATCTGGCTGAGTGATGCCCCCTGACTGTGCTGGGGCGCGGGAGGCTCTTCCCTGCTCGTGCTCCCATGAATGCCAATGAAGGCACCAGCGAGTGGGAAGAGGTTAAAAAGGCTGAATTGGTGGAAATAATCTGAAGTCCTGAGTGGCAGCCCCGACACAGCCTCGTTCCTGCCTCGCAGTGAGGGATGCTGTGTTGGTGCAGCCCTGCTGCTCGGGGTGCTTGTGTTTTCCTCCCTTCCACGCTGCTCAGCCCCGTCTCATTTACCCTCCAGAGCACACAGAGTGTCCTTGAAGCTTGCAAATTAAAGAAGTTGTTTTCCTGAGCACAGCAGGCGTGTAGCTACAGCTTCACTCGGCTGGGATTGGCACCAGGCGTGACACTCAAAGTTCTGGAGCTGCTGAGGGGCTGGAGCATCTCTGTGCCAGGCCAGGCTGAGAGCCCTGGGGCTGCTGAGCTGGAGAAGCCTCAGAGGGGATCTGAGCAGTGCTGAGCAAGAGCTAAAGGGCCCCGGGGGGCAAGAGGCTGGGGCCAGACTCTGCTCAGTGGTGCCCAGGGACAGGACAAGGGGCAACGGGCACCAACTGGAACCCAGGAGGTGCCACCTGAGCAGGAGGAGAAACTTCTCTGCTGGGAGGGTGCAGAGCCTGGAGCAGGAATCTGGAGAGATTCCAAACCCACCTGGACATGATCCTGGTGCAACGTGAGGCCCTTTCCTCTTGTCCTGTCCCTTGTTCCTTGGGAGCAGAGCCCGACTCCCCCCTGGCTCCAGGCTCCTGTCAGGAGCTGTGCAGAGCCAGAAGGTCTCCCCTGAGCCTCCTTTGCTCCAGGCTCAGCACCCCCAGCTCCCTCAGCTGCTCCTCCCCACACTTGGGCTCTAGACCCTTCCCCAGCAGCTCCGTTGCCCTTCTCTGGCCACGCTCCAGCTCCTCAAGGTCCTTCTGGGAGTGAGGAGCCCAAACCTGACCCCAGGATTCGAGGTGCAGCCTCAGTAGTTCTGGGTCCAGGGGGACAATCCCTGCCCTGGTCCTGCTGGCCACACCAGTGCTGCTCCAGGCCAGGATGCCCTTTGCCTTCATGGCCACCTGGGCTCACAATAAACTAATTTATACTTAAAGCTAAATTATACATCACGATCATGCATCTTGCTTAACAAGGGCATGTGCTGTGCCATCAGCATCCTTTCCAACTCCTAAACCTCTTGCAGGTGTCTGAGAGCCTTTGTTGAAGGAGGAGAACTTGGGAGAGAGCATCTGAGGAGAGGCTGGACCACAGTTGGTCTCCGAGCAGCACTTGAGTCTCTTTAACAGCAGAGAGGGGAGATGGGGGCTGGTTTTACCTTCAACCCCTCCCTCCACCTCAGCTGCTCTCTGCAGCACTCCCACCAGGGATTTCCTGCCCCGACCTCAAGCTGGGTGGCTTTGCTCAGGTTCTTCAGGCTTCCTGTTTTTCTCTTCAAGCTTTCAGTTTACCAGCAGACTGTTTCCTGCTCGAAGGCTTCGTGGGACTGAGATCCTGCAGCTTCTCCTCAGCAAGAGGTGGCTGGTAAGGTCTTTGAAGGCTCTTCCTTTCCTGGCTGGCTGGGTGATGCTTGGGACAATTTCAGGAAGGTTTCCTTGAGATCTTCAAGTCCTGGTTGGCTCGAGGAGACGTGGGGGGTTAACTGGCTCTGCTAGTGACAGCTTTTCAGTGACATCTCTGGAAGGGATTGTGCTTTCTGCACCAGCTTCTCAGGCAGCAGCAAGCCCTCAATTACCTCAGCTTTCAATCACTCTCCTGTAGCTGCTGCTCAAGTGCTATTATAAAGGAATTAGTGAGTTTGAAAGCAAGAGATGGAGAGGTCTCAGGGCCACCACCCCGCCTGCCTCTGGAGGTGGAAGCCATTAGAGACTGAAGAGCTGACAGGGATGGAGGAACCACCCTCACCTCGGGGAGGCTGCGTTCAAAGAGGTGCTCTGGTGACAGAATCTTTTCAGCAGCTGGTTTTTTTTCCCCTTTTTTTCAGTCGCAGCCATGGTGGGAGAAGTTGAGATAGTAGCAGATGGGGCTGCAAGCTCCTGAAGCCTGTGGCTGAGCTGGAAGCCCCATCCCTTTGGGGAGAGAGAGCTGGGGGAGGTTTCATCTCTTTCAGCTCATTGCAGAGCCACCAGTAAATTTCAATACCAACAAACTTCTCTTAGCAAACACTCCAAGTGCCTGTTCTAAATATTATTATTTTCCTAGGGTCTATATTTTTGTTTAGCCCTAACCGTCATGAAAATATTTGTGTTAAATGTAACCTTTTCCTTGTAGCCACTTGGCTCATCTCCCCACCAGGGAGACCAAGGGCTGTGGGGGAACTGCTGGCTGTGGCTGAGGACTTGAGCTGCCACCTCCTCCCTTGATGGTGCTTTGCTTGAACCCCACGAGTCCTAGGCCTGACTAGGAGCTGGATGAGAACTTTCCATCAAAAATATTGGGGATTTAAAACATGAAACCCACCCTTTGTGAGCAAGGAATGTGCTCTTGCTAAAACCACTTCTTCTCAGGTGCTTTTCCTGCAAGGTTGACTTGAATCAAGTGTTTCAGCACCTTCAACTGAACTGAGTCACCTCATTCCAGCCTAGCACTAAGCTGAGCTTGAGGCTGCAGTTGGGAACTTGTGTCTGAGCCCCTGGGGTGCTTTGAGCTCTGCTTTCAAGGAGGCAGCCAGGAGAGATCCTCTTGATTCAGGAGAGAACCTCTTGATTCAGGAGAGATCCTCTTGATTCAGGAGAGAACCTCTTGATTCAGGAGAGAACCTCTTGATTCAGGAGAGATCCTCTTGATTCAGGAGAGAACCTCTTGATTCAGTTGCTCTCCTACCACGCTTCCCTTGCCTGTGAAGTGGTGGTCATGCTGCAGTGGTTCAAAGCTGGACACTGGGAATTGTTTAGATGACTTTAGCCCTGCCCATCAGAGCCACGCTGGGGCTGTGGAGCAGCACGTTCAGCTACGTGAAGCAAGATGAGGGGGAGAAGATGTTGGGTGGTTTTTCCTCTTTGGTTATGAAGCCAACCAAGCTGCAGGCTGGAGGACTCAGATGTGGGTGCGTGGACATTTCCATGACGTGCTTGCTCGTGGCACATAGTTCATACCTTCTTCAGGAGAGAACCTCTTGATTCAGGAGAGATTCTCTTGATTCAGGAGAGAACCTCTTGATTCAGGAGAGATTCTCTTGATTCAGGAGAGAACCTCTTGATTCAGGAGAGATTCTCTTGATTCAGGAGAGAACCTCTTGATTCAGGAGAGATTCTCTTGATTCAGGAGAGAACCTCTTGATTCAGGAGAGAACCTCCTGATTCAGAAGAGATCCTCTTGATTCAGTTGCTCTCCTACCATGCTTCCCTTGCCTGTGAAGTGGTGGTCATGCTGCTCTTCACAACGCTCTGGGATGCTGCAGTGGTTCAAAGCTGGACACTGGGAATTGTTTAGATGACTTTAGCCCTGCCCATCAGAGCCACGCTGGGGCTGTGGAGCAGCACGTTCAGCTACGTGAAGCAAGATGAGGGGGAGAAGATGTTGGGTGGTTTTTCCTCTTTGGTTATGAAGCCAACCAAGCTGCAGGCTGGAGGACTCAGATGTGGGTGCGTGGACATTTCCATGACGTGCTTGCTCGTGGCACATAGTTACTCCCTTCTCCTTTCAGGTTAATTAGCTGATTAGCTTGAAGCTTGAAAGAGCAGGAGAGTGTGTGGGGGTCTCCTTGGTAATTTAGGAGCTGCTGGCTCTTAATATTGATTTGTTAATGAATCAGCAAGCGTGTGAAACCTGCCAGCTCCTTCACACTCTGCACAGGCCACTTTCCCTCTGCTGCTCCTGGGGCTTGGGAAGGCAACCCAGCCTTTTTGGGGAAGCATCTGCCCAGGTCTGCATGGCTGCAGGAGAGCAGAGGGGGACCCATGGTCCCAGTGTGGGGTGATGTACTCCAGTGGTGGGGGCAGAGCATCTCTCCAGCCTGGTTGTGTTCCACAGGAGGTGATCTGAGCAGCAGAGAGCTGCCACTCCAGGAATCACCATGGCTTCTCTTTGGAGGTCCCTGGAGAAAGATGTGTTCCACCCACAGAGAAAGAGGCTGCTGGAAACCATCCGTGTCTGGAAGACAGGGAAGAAGAAGAAGATGTCCATCCTCTGTGTTGTGGGTAAGAACCCCGGAGGGGCTGGGAGAAGCTGCAAACCCAGGAAGGTTTCTTGCAGGTCTAGTCAGAGAGTTTGGTCTCTGGTGGCTCTTTTCCTAATTTGAGAGAAGAGAAGGGAGCAGCATTTGGAATTTATGAGGAGATGGAGGAAATCTTAACCCAAAGCTGGGAGCTGTGCCACGTCAGTATTCCATGTCAAGATCTACCAATGAAAACACAAGATCCCTCTTGAATGTGGGACAACCTCTGGCTGCCTAGAGAGCCCTGGGGTCTGCAGGATACTCCCTCCAAAGTAAGATTATTAATTTTTTACCATTTCCATCAAATCTGTCATTAGAGGTCAGCAACAAACTGTTCTAACTGACCCAGCACTACAACCTCACTCTGTCTCTGCACAGTTTTGGTGGAAGTTCTCCCAGCAGCCAAAAATTTTGGGAGTAGGCAGCTATGTGATTAGGATCCAAAGGTGCAAGTGCCTTGGGGGATGTTCTATCTCCTTTGTCAACGCTTTTCTAGCTGCTCCTGAGAAGTTGTTACCGTGGATTTCCTTGACAAATTTAGAGGGGAGAGATTAATTAATGTCAGGATTAATTCCTGACAGCCTTAGCCACAATATTTGACCTCAGTGATGTGCTTCAGCTCCTGCTGTGGTCAATGGAGGGCAGGAAGAACATCTCCAAAGGTCCAGCTGTACCTGTCCACTCACACCAAACTCTGGTGTCTCGGGTTAATAATAATATTGTGGGGTTTGTTTGGTTTTTTTTCCTGTGCCTCAGTGGACACCTTCAGGCCAACGCAACCGTTCCTGGTGAAGCTCAAGGTAGACCGAGGAGAGCAGTACAAGGTGGCCTGCAGGTGGTCCTTGGCAGAGCTGAAGCTGGTAGATGGCAAGACTCTCCATCAGGTAGGACTGCTTTTCCCTCTGTGGCAAAGGGCAGAACTGATCGTGGGGGAGAGAGAAAAAGGTGAAGCTAGAGAGACACAGGAGAGGATCCACAGTGGGATTCAAGTCTTCTGGAGCTCAGCCCCTACGTTTGGAAGAGCAGCAGGGGGTGTGTGGGGATGTGATTGCTAAGATAGGGCTGGACCAGCCTGATTGATGCTAAATTTGAGGAAACAACCACCATTAGAAGGCAAAAAATCCCTCCCTGCCTTCCCTCAGAGCTCTTTCCTAGAGTGTGGGGAACCGAGGTCGCTCCTTGGATGGTTTCTCCATCTTTTAGGGCTCTTTTCTAGAGTATGGTGAACAGAGGTCACTCCCTGGATGGTTTCTCCATCTTTCATCAGTGCTTTTGGACTTCTTTTGACTCTTTCCTGGAATGTGGGGAACTGAGGTTGCTCCCTGGATGGTTTCTCCATCTTTCATCAGTGCTTTTGGACTTCTTTTAGGACTCTTTCCTAGACTATGGGGAACTGAGGTCACTCCCTAGATGGTTCCTCCATCTTTCATCAGTGCTTTTGGACTTGTGGTTTCCTTCCTCTCTCCCAGGGAGATGCCTGTGCCCAGGGTGCTGAGCCTGGAGTGATTTCCTCCCTCCTAACTCATCCCTCTCTAAGTTAGGAAATGCCAGGCTGGCCAAATCCCTGACCAGAGCGAGCAGGGTGAGGGTGACCACTGCATGGCCACAGCTTCCACCAACCCCAGCAGGCAAAACACCTTCTCCCTCAGGCAGAGGAGCTCCTGGAAGCTCTTTGCAGCAGTCCTAAGAGGCTGGAGAGTGGGGCTGCAAAGAGCTGCTCCTGTCAGGCCTCCAGCATTTGCAGAACACGTTGTCAGGCCCATCTGTCGATCCCGTGTTGACAAAGCTCCTTGACAGACATTTGCATAAGGTATTTAAAGATTAAAGGGAGGCATTTACTGCAGGAGGGATTTACAGGGAGCTGGAACCAGCGTGAGTCTGCGCTTTTGGGATGCAGGGTTTGGGGAAAGGGAGCAGGGACAAGCTATTCCCTTTCTGCTGCTGGGGCTGGCAGGGTGTCATTAAAGTTGTTCTAATGAGGGTTTTTTTTTGGTTATTAATGTGAATGTTCCAGGGGCTCTGGCAAGGCGCCTGTGTTCTCACAAGCACGGGGCTAAATGAGGAATAAAGAACAACTTTCCAGGTCTCCAGCCAGGACAAATAAAGTACATCTGCACAGGGAGACTCACCACTGAAGGTTTGGAGGGCATTGGGATCCTCTGGGTAGAGCTGAGCCCACGTCTGCCTGTCGTAGGCTTCCCTGCACACGAGGAAACCCCTCCTCTCATCATAGAATCATAGAATCCTTTAGGTTGGAAGGTACCTCCAAGATCATCCAGTCCAACCATTGAGCCATTAGGGCTCTAAAGTCCTCTGCTAAAACAGATCAGAATCTGTCAGGGTTGGATGGGACCACAAGGATCCCCCAGTTCCAACCCCTCTGCCATGAGCAGGGACACCTCCCACTAGATCAGGCTGCCCAGAGCCTCCTCCAGCCTGGCCTTAAAGACCCCCAGGGATGGGGCCTCAACCCCCTCCCTGGGCAACCCATTCCAGGGTCTCATCACTCTGTCCCCCCTGAGCTTTCCCTTAGCAGATAAACCTGGCTCCACCAAGTCTTCTAAACTGCTTTGGCTCCCGAGGAGTTAGGATTAGAAGACACCTCCAGGATTTTCAGTCCTTTCCCCTTCATTTGCCACCCCAATGAGATAAACGGATCATAATCTTCAAGTTTAGGTGTTTTTGAGCTCCCTCCTACTGGGAGGCCAGTAGAGAACTTGGTTCTTCTGATGGCTAAAGCCTCCTCATGACTCCCAGCCTGGGTTCCTGCCCACAGCACCCTGGTTTGGGCTGGTGCCATGCTGTGCTTCAGGTTAGCCAGCTCTGCTCCTTTGCAGATGTAGTTTTAGCCTGCAGTCACCTCCCCTGTTAACCTTCCTCCTGGCAGGCTAAGCAGGCTGACCTCTTTGCCTCCTCTCAGGCATTGGCTTCTCTCTTCCCTTCACCAGTTCCTGAGCCCTCTTCCTCACCTCTTCCAGGCTGAACTCACCTTCCTTGAATGGGAGCAAGCAGAATGGTCCCCATCATTCCTAAAAAGGGATCTACTCACCAGCTGAAGCTGCTCCCAGGTCCCTGGGAGGAGGCTGAAGCAGCAGGTTGCAGCCAGGAGGTGTTGACATCTCTCAGGGTCCCACCATGGAGACCCCACCACAGAGACAAGCTCCCCAGTGCTCAAGTCAGCACAGTCCCTCCCTCTCGAATGACTTGGCAGGTCCATGGAAACCAAACCAAGAGCTCTCCTCCTTAGCAGACAATATCCACTGCTAGCAGGGCAATATTCAGTCCACACAGCAAGGGCTTGGCCATCAGCTCAGCTCTGGAGCCCTGAGAAGAGCACTGACACTGCAAGGATGCTCAGCTCTCCAGCTCCCTTGACCAAGCCAGGGTGAATATTTATGGAGGGATTAAGGAGTGCTCCCTGCTTTAACAGGAGGCTCCCAAGTTCTCCAGAAGGTGAGCTCAGGCTGTGCTGCAGAGCCAATGAGATGGTGCAGGAAGGAGTTTCTTTCCAGGGGATGTTTGTACTTCAGCAGCCACCCTTATTCTCTCCATCTATCTACCACTTTAGTGGCAAAACCAAAGTCTCCCGTGGCTGGAGTTGCCCCTCCATGGGGCTCCATCCTTGGGGCACAGATAGATGTAGAGTTCTGGACACTCAGATGGATGAAAACAACCTGGGGCAATGCCAAGGGTGGTTTTTTTTCCCCCTAGTCCATGCTCCTGTTATCTCAGGTGACCTCCTCCTGCTGGGAGATGCTGGGGGAAGGGTGTGTGATACCACAGTGCTGCTGGGGAGATATCAGGACTGAGCTCCTGGAAGCCCATTTCTGGGTATCTCTGGGTGTTCCCCATTCTTCAGCGAAGGGAAGTCTGAGATTTCATGCTTGGGTGAGGATTGCAGAGGGGAAGATCTGCAGGGGGAGTGCTGGGCTCACCCAGAACCCTCAACTCTGCTTGGTTTGAGCTTTCTCATTCAGCCCATCATTACATCAGGGAGCTCATTGCCACAGGGTGCTGTGGATGCCAACGCTCTGAGCCAGTTCAAACACCCAGGAGAGGAAATCAGGGACAGCAGGTCCTTCAAGGGCAGTTAAACACAGTGCTGTGGATACAACCTCGGGCTCAGCGAGATGCTGGAGGCTGCCAGAGAATCCTGAAGGCAACAGAACTCTGGATTTGCCCTTTGAATGCTTTTCCCTCTCCCCCCCAAGCATCTGCCACTGGTCACTGTCAAAAATCATCAGCTTTCACCCCCCAAAACCTGCAGTAAAAGGTGAGGGATGTATTTAATCAGAACAGGACTCTGTGTGCTGTGTCAGGATGCTGGGGCTGGTCGATGGCTTGGCCTGACCCACTGGGAGTGTCCTGGTGTCCCCTTCTAGGGCCAGGATTGCTGTGAATCCTCTTGTTTTCAGTGCTTTCCTCATGCCTGTGGTTATTTGCCAAGTGCCACGAGCACATCTCTCAAACCCTGGCCAAGCTGCTGTGGGGTAGCAGCAGGAGTCCTGCAGGAAAGGAAGGGGAGGAAGGATTTGCTGGTAGCTGGAGGAATCACTGCTGCCAGCTTGGAAATACAGAGCTTCTCAGGGAATTTTTTGGTGGAAAGGCTTCAGATCAAACTTCTGACATCAGTTACTCTGGGCACGGTACAGTGGGTGTCCATCACATCAGGTGTTGTGGGGATATTTGGGGACAACATCCCACTGTGTCCCACCTGGACACCACCCTGCTGGAGCAGAGGGGCTGGAGGAGATGATCTCCCTTCCAACCCCACCAGGCTGGGATCCTGTGGATCTTCCCCACCCTCCTTGGGGTGCACAAGGTGCTTCCACAGCCTCGGTGCCCGCAAACCTGTGCAGGGTGTAGGGGATGTGACAAGTGGCACTTAATTAACGTGGCAATTAATGCTGGCATCTAGGAGAGCCCGGATTTCGACCTGCACTTGGAGAAGGTTTACAAGTGGACCGCTAGCAGCTTTGAGGAGAAGGAAACCTTCCTCAGGTGCTTGTGGAAGCTGAACCACCGATTCCTCGCCAGCTCTGTCCCCTTTCTCCACCTCCCCTCCCGTGCAGCAGAAGGTAATTAGTTTCCTTGTCACACTCCCAGGGCTTTGGATTATTTCCCTCCTCGGGAACGGGAGGTGAATAAATCTCACGAGGTGACAGGAGAGGCTGAGGTGGGTGCCAGGGAGAGGCTGAGGTGGGTGCCAGGGAGAGGGAAGCAGGATCCACGATCCGTGTCGCTGGAGGGCACAACCCTCTGATTTATCTGCTGCCCTTTGCCACCCAGACACGGCGTGAGGCTGGGATGAAAAATAGATGGAGTTTCTCTCCTCTCTCCAGAGATGGTATCTGCACTGCGGGGTGGGGAGGGCGAGCAGTAAATGGTGGTGGTGTCAGGGCAGAGGGAGGCTGGCTGCTTGCCCAGGGACATTCCCCAGCAGCATGGCAAGAAATATAGATATATATATGGATATAAGGATCTGTTTGACTCTACACCAGACTCTCAGGCTATTTGATCAGAAGCAGCCCTGCTCCTCTCTGAAATTTGGCTCAGCTTTGTACAACAAAGGTGCCCCCAAAGCCACCCTGGAGATGAGGAGCTAAAAGCACAACCCGAGCTCAAATTAAATTTCAAATGCCTGTTTTGTCCCTCTTACAAAGCAGCCCCTTCAGGGCATGCACTTCTTTCTTTGCTCCATGTCATGAGCTTATTCTAACCAGCCAGCAGCTTGGGACCATTGGGCTCAGGTCACTTGGACTCCACGGGACCCCTGGGGCTAATAAAATGTCCCAGCTAGAAGGCTTTGGCCATCTCCACCTCTCCTCCTGGCCGTGCAGGGAGAGAAAGGCCCCAGGAGGAGAGGGAGGACACTGTGGAGGCTGAGAGCCAGGAGGAGCTCAGTGCATACCAGGAGATGACACCAAAGGAGGCTGCTGATGTGCTGAAGCTGATGGAGGAGTACGAGCCCCTGGTGAACAACTCCGTGGCCTTTGCAGAGCAGCTGAGCAACGATCTCCACGTGCTGGATGAGGTAAGGGGGCTGTGATTTAACTGAGAAGCTGGTGCCTGGCATGTACGGGCAGTGGATTTGCTCTCTGGGTCTCAGCAGCTCTTTCATTTGCTGTGAGAGGTTGATCTGAGAGAAAGTCAGCTCAGTGTTGTGCTACTTGAGCTCAAAAGGCATCTCACCTGCAAGGATGCTGCTGCTCCCCTCTCCAGGGTCAGTGCTGGATGCCTGGAAGAAAAGGCAAAGGCCACCAGTGCTCCTTCCAGAAGGAAAAACAGCAGCTAGGGAGAAAGCAAAGAGGAAAATGATGAAACAGAGCTGGAAGGAGCTAAAAAGTAAAAGATAAACTGTAGTAGAAAGGGCCTATGGAGAAGGCAAACATTATTTTCAGGCTGATGAGCTTTATTTGCTTTGCTAGAGTTGCTGCATTTTATTGAATTTCTGCAGAGTAAAACTTGTTTCTTCAAGTGCTGGCACAAAATAATGAAACAGCTGCTTCAAGCATTTATCTTATGCTAATACATCTGCTGCGAGGACTTTATGGGGAGGGAGCTGAAGAACAAAGGGAAAGAAAGAAGCCAAAGGAAATATCCTAAAACACAGGAGAAACCACAAGCCCTAAATTCCACCTCCTTAAGCTCCAGGACTGCTGAATTCCCCATTTGTGTTTCTCTCTGGCTCATGGAAACTCAGTAGGGTAACGTGGGAGCCCAAACTCCTGCAGGCTGCTCCTGCTTGCTCCTGGCGAGGGGTACAGGCACTTTGTGACTGTTTCCCAGCTGTAGAATACCCTGAGAATAACTAATAAATCTCTATTAAGACATTTGACACGGAAGGCACGGTCGAATACATTATTTTAATGCCTCCTAATGAATAAATGTCACTTATTGCTAATACAAATTAATTAAGGAGTTGTTTCGATTCCTAAGGTTTAATTTATGCCATTAAGTGTTATTAAGGCCAGCAGGCTGGACTAGCAGTGGCATATATAAAAGTGTTTTTCCCCACATCCCAGGGGTAAGACATCATCCTCCTCTTCAGAGGAGGCCAGGAGATGGGGGAGGTTACTCTGAGCACCCTGCTCTGCTTGCAATGTCCCTGCTCCCTGCAGGGGGGTTGGATCTAGATGAGCTTTCAAGGTCTCTTCCAACCCATTTTAGTGATTTTAGGAGTATCTTCCTGCATCAGCAAGCCCCACTTCAACCCCAACTGCTGAGCCTGCTGGCAAGTGAAGCTTCAGCCTGCCTGGCCACCACTGAGCTCCCTGGGGAAAAGCTGCATCCCTCTGCACTGGGCTAGTTCCATCTCCACCCTTCCAGAGATGCTTTGCTGCGTTTGGTGTGACCTCAGGCTCCTCTACAGCATTTCTCTGACCTTTCCAGATCCTTTGGGAACCTCCCTCCACTTGAAGCCATTCCCTACAGTCCTTTCTCCCACGTTTTCCTAAAACAGCACAACTTTTATCACAGGAGAGCATCCTCCGTGCTTTGCCAGGGAGATGGAAGCCACCCAGTCCTAGTGCATGGTGCAGAGTGGCTCTCACACATCTCAGGAGCATCTCTGTGCTGCTCCAGCATCTCATCCTGCATGCAGCACCTCCAGAGCTGGAGCCACCAGCTCATCTTTATCCCCATGGCAATGTAGGTGGAGCTTGGAGAAAGTCCTTAGCAGAGGAACTGTAGCTGCCCAGCACCTCTTGCACTTTCAGACACATAGAATCCCAGAATCCTGAGGGTTGAGGGAGCTCTGGGGATCATCTCCTCCCACCTCCCTGCTCCAGCAGCTCACCCATAGCAGGGTGCCCAGGGTGGTGTCCAGGTGGGTTTGGAATCACTCTGGAGAAGGAGCTCCAACATTCCTAACTTGGAGCACAGCAAGTGACCTAATCTGGGCTGCCAGGACTTTGCTTCTCCCCCTCCTATCCCTTCCCACCAGGGAGCCCAGCGTGGGGCATCCTGGGGGGTGCTTCTGTTCTTCATTTCATGAAAAAGCCATCAGATAATTGAAATGGCAGAAAACACAAACTTGCCTTAAAAACTCTCTTAAAGGGGAAGAAAAGGAGCAGCCTGGGAACCTCCAGCCTCCCAGGCTCGTGCCTATTGACTGCTTTCTGTGATCCCCACGTGGTGCAGGGCCCTGAAAAGGACACAGGGAATATTTGGAAGCAATTAATCCCTGGCAGAGCTCTCCAGCAGTGATTAACATGCTGCTAGATCTCTGCCACCCGACAAAACAAACCCCTGGGACCTCCCCGGGCCAACTGTGCCATCGGTTTGCACACCAGAGACTCAGACTCCTGCCCATCTCACGGGTGATTTAACTGCTTAGGGGTTCCTCTGCCACAGCAGCTCAGCTGGGTGACCTCCTGGCAGTGGTGGCCGTGCCCAGGGCTGTGTGAAACGTGCTGTGATGGGCTCTTGGCATGGCCACGCTCTCCATGAATGCCTCAGAACCAGCTAGGAACGTCCCTGAGCTTGGAGGGGCTGCCAAGTTTCTTGAGAAGTTCTGTGGGATGGACACCCAGGACCTCAGGGGACATCAGCAGTTGTGGGGATTGAGGGTTGGAGACTCCACGTGGTGTTTGCTTGGGATTTTCTCCAAACTTCCAAAGATTCATGGTTGGGTTTGCCCACAGTAGCTCTGGCAGCTGAGTGTCCTCTGAGTGTCCACCTTGCTCACAGAAGGGTTTTGTTCTGCCCTGGTGCTTGAGATTTGCAGATGGCTGGTGATGTAGAGCTCAGACATGGACCTGAGGCAGGTAGTGATGCAGGACAGCTGGAGCAGCATCTCACATGTTCCAGTGACAGGGTCTCTGCTTGGACTTGTGAAGGTCACTCTGAGATGGGGTCTTCCAGCACCTTAAAGGGGCCTACAGGAAAGCTGGGGAGGGACTTTTTAGGATGTCAGGTGATAGGACTAGGGGGAATGGAGCAAAACTGGGAGTAGGTAGATACAGATTAGACATCAGGAAGAAGTTCTTCACCACGAGGGTGGTGAGACACTAGCACAGGTTGCCCAGGGAGGTGGTGGAAGCCCCATCCCTGGAAGTTTTTAAGGCCAGGCTGGAGCTCTGAGCAACCAGTGTGGGGCTCTGACCAACCTGATCTCGTGGGAGGTGCCCCTGCCTATGGCAGAGGGGTTGGAACTGGATGATCTTTCAGGTCCCTTCCAACCCTGACAATTCCACGTCCAGTCCCTCCTGCAGTGCTGAAGCTCTGTCCTTCCATTCCCCAGGCCAACCTCAGAGCCATCATCTCCTCTGAGAAGCAGGTGACACAGCTGATGAGCTCCATCGACCAGGCCCTGGCAGAGGTGGCCAGAGTGGAGGAGACCCTGCAGGTCTACGACGAGTTACTGGGGAGTGTGAAGCAGCAGATGGACCACATCCACCAGGAGAACTCCCTGCTACACCGCATCACTTCCAACGAGGAGAAGCTGATGGATGAGCTCCTCTTCCTCACGGTAGGTGGACTTCCAAAGACAAAAATCTCCAGCTTGGTCCCTTCCCTGGGGAAGCAAATTATTTACCAGTCGTGGCTGCTGGGCAGAACTTGGGTTTTGGTGGAGATAGAGCAGCAGGATCTCCCTTCCAGGAACATCCAACCTGGTAGATGAAGGTAGAACTTGGTTATTTCAACCCAGCAGCCTTGTGGGTGAGCTGAGGAGGGCTGAGGAGCTGGTTGTGCTTCACCTCTTGCCTTCTTCTGGCTTTGTTTTCAGACCCAGCTCAGCCTCAGCAGGGAACACTGCGATGCCCTCAGCGGGGCAGATCTTTCCAGCCCCAGCAGAGTGGCAGCCTGCACTGCTGCAGCAGAGGCTTTGGCTGCCTGCATGAACATCCAGATACAGCCTGGTGAGCAGAGGAGGGGTCTGGCTGCAGACAGCAGAGCCACCAGCTCATCCATAACCTGTCCTGCACACCCAGCACCATTCTGGGCTGTCCAGCCTCTGAGGGTGCCCCTGAACCTTGGAAGGGGGTTGTGTGTGCTCCCAGGGTTTAGCTAATTAGCTCACAGGCTTGCTGGGCAGCAAAGTAGAAGATAAATAGAATCACAGGATCTTTTTGGTTGGAAGACACCTTAAAGATCAAGTCCAACAGTTCTCCCAGCACTGCCAGGTCCCCACTGCCCCGTGTCCCTCACCCCACATCTCCAGGGCTTG